GATGAAGCGAATACACAGGTGAGTTTGCGGTGATGGTGCATGCATGCCAACATTTTTCATGTCACGACACACCACAGTCTTACTGCACACTCAAGGAGATCTGTGGTTTCCCTGGCAAAGAGCTTGTGGTCGGAGGCAATCAGCCTCGGGTCTCCGTCTACCCCTTGGGCTGAGAACCCTGGGAAGCTCAGCATTTTTCCTTAGAGTTTTCCACAATCTTACCCCTGATTGAAAATGGTGAGCGTGACTTAGATGAATGGGGAGAATGTTTTATGTTCTAGTTTCTTCTCTTATTTTAAGTCATTTTTACATTAAGAGAATTTGAAAAAGCTCTATTTTTCTGGAGTGAGACGTTATAAACAAATAAGTAAAATATTCATTCTACTTTGTGTGATGGAACAGTGTAAGCAATAGCCCTGTGTAAGACCATTATAAAAAGGTGTGGTTCTTGCCAGGAGGCTGTAAAGACGACGCCGTGATAGGATTATGTGTATGAATGTCTAAACCACAGCCCATGGACTGGCTGGGAACCCATGTCCACATGTCATCCTGACTAACATAGATCAAGCCAAGTGTTCGGCTGTGGTCAGGCAGGCGAGGAACAGAATCCTGGATCAGCCTGAGCCTGCTGTCCCTGTCCCGGGAGGATGGCTCTCCTGTGGCTCCCCCTTTGTTGACAGGAGCCCCATGGAGGTGGCTGGTGCCTGCCATGCTCTACTGACTCCTCTCCCACCAGGACACTTCCCCAGGCTCTGTGGTCCTGATAAAAACTTGTCACACTTGTTTTATAAGTTGCGCTCTTATTTATCTCATTTGACCTCATTGTAATTATAATATTGTTGACCTCCCTCTATGCATCCCCCAGCTCAGAAGTCAACAACCGTTTTCAGAAGGCAGGAGCTGTGAGTCTGGCTTGGACTCAGAAGCAATGCTTATATCTGTATTGACTGTTCTCTATGTAAAACATGCACAAATATCTAACTCGGGACACAGACAGCTGCAACACAGTCTCCTTATCCTTCCTCCTCCTCACTGCAGGGACCCCTTTGCCTGCTCATAGTCCTCATTTTCAGAAGTCAGAGACTAACTCCAATTTCAATAATTTCTTGTTTAGTTGGTAACCTGGCTCCCAGGTAGAAGCCATTCGGGGGTGGCTGTGGTTGGCCAAGGCTGACCCATAGCTGATAACTGGCTTTGCTTTGGCCAACAGCATGGGGAGATAAGACTGAATTTCCTGGGGGAAACAGTGCCTGCTCCTGTCTATTTCACAAGCTCATTCTGAATTCAAATGAGAAAGTCAGTGTGAAAGGGCTTACAAGGCAGAAACTTTATGCCGGATGTATT